GCAACAGCATGGATGGACCTGGAGAGTATTATGCTAAGTGAAATAAGCCAGTCAGAGAAAGATAAATATCACATGATCTCACTCATTTGTGGAATATAATGAACAACATAACTGATGAATAAAAACAGATCCAGAGACAGAGAAGCATTGATCAGATGCTCAAACCTCAGAGGGAAGATAGGGGATGGTGGGGCAAGGGGAAGATATCAACCAAAGGACTGTATGCATGCATATAAACCAAACCAATTGACACAGACAACAGGGGGATGAGGGCATGAGTGGGGGTTGGGGGGCAATGGACATATATGTAATACCTTAATCAATAAAGAAAGAAAATAAATTAAAAAATAAAGAATTGAGCATATGTTTTAGCAATTTCTGCTCACCACCATGATGTAATGCCCTAGGTTATGTTTTTTCTTTTCAATGTTTTGATCATCTACTACTGCTATCTTTGAATGGCAAATAATTTCTCCTAAAGTCAACATTTACTATAAAATCCTATTCGTTTTCAAACATAGCCTCTTTTTGCTAATCGCTGCTGGTCTGTACACTTCCTCCAGTCAGCTGTCTTGCCTCCCTTTGAGCCCTTTCTCAATCCCTTTCTCTGCTTTTGCTCAGTGCCACTTATGTTTTCCTGTCCTCGTGTCCATGTGAATTATATGTTCTCTTCCTTCTTCTTATGCATGCACACATACTAATAGAAGGTTGATTGAGGCTTAAATATGTTAAGTATCTGATTAAAGTTTTCTGTAATCTCGGTTTCTTTCCTTGCTAGTTTAATGAAGGTACACATTTTTTTTCTTTAATTTTAGTGCAGGATATAACTTGAAACTTGTGGTTCTCCACCCACCCACGGGGCTATTTTTCCCTACTTAGCAAGGCAAGGAACCAGTATAACCAGTATGGGAGCACTAAGCTTCGTTTTCCATTTATCATAATAAAAAAAGAAAGTGGTTGCTTCCCACAAACAGACGAAGATGAGGGTGAATCATCCAACTATCCAAAGGAAAGAACTCCTGATTGTGCAGGGGGTGCCAGGAAATCATTTTTAAAATTCATATAAAAAATACTAAGCTTACAAAGTCATTATTTCATTTTAAAACTTAAAAAAAAGAATTAAATGTAATTAATTATAAAAATACATTATCTTTCTATTTTTCTTTAAGGAAATTCATAACAAGAAATTTACTTGGGCAAGACCGTTAAAAAAATTTGAAAAACAGTCAATTTGCATCCCAGTTCATAAATACAAGTAAAAGCCTTTAAAGGACCCATTCTAGGGAGCTGGGTCAATTTGAGGAAATCTGAAGGTTCTTAAGCACAGGTCAGCAAAATGTCAAGGGCCAGTCGGTAATTATTTTCAGCTCTGTAGACCATAGGTCTCTGTCACAGCTTATCAACTCTGGCCTTGAAGCACAAAAGCAGCCATGGACAGTAACCAAATATGTGTGGCCGTGTCCCCGTGAAACTGAAAAGTTGCACACTTGGTTGTATTATACTGCAGTGAATTTTTTTAAAAGTCACCAAGCAAAAGATACTATTGTTACCGGCGAGACAATGAGACCTCAGTTCTTGTCTTGTTGAAGGAAAGATTTCAACCAAGAGACGAAGTATAGCACAGTAAATAAGAATGTACTGCCCTCAGCAACAATATACTTGGGACAGTGAAACAAGGAAGGGCATAGAAGAAAGAAGCAACAGGAGAGCCTAGGCCGGACTGCTTTAGCTCACTGGGAAGTCAGGGAAAAGGGAGCCTTGGGGACAGGGTCAGGATGTTAGGCCAGGACGAGCTGCCACTGCCCATTGCTCCCCTGGTTGCAAGTCTCATGGGGTCCCATAGAGGAGAGGAGGAGGAAGGAAATGCATGGGCATGCTCACCTGGGGGAGCGCACACACTGACTGGGTCCTTCATCCTGAGCACATTCATCTCTCTCTTACAGGTGGGAATCTTAGGGGAGGTTTCAGGAGATATTCATCAGTTTTCCAGATGCGTTCTTTCAGGCTCATGGTCTCCATGGATTCGTCAGTGCCAGGGCAGGGGGACATTAGTCAATGCAGCTGGTCCTGAGCCAGCCATGGAGTCACTTGTCTGGTTTTGCTGCTTTTCTGGGCCTGGAGCTGAAATACAACTGAGGCCTAGATGTTATCTTTAAGGATGAAAAGATCAGGGGCTCTAAACCACCTGGCAAGCGATTTGCTAGGGACTAAAGATTACCCTGGGGATGAGGTTCTTGTTTTCCCAGTTTTGCTCCTTGCTAGGCATTCAGGGCTTTCCACCCTGGTGATCTTCTGTACCTGACCCATCACCCTTGCTCTGCTCGTGTCTGTCTACCTGCCTATAGCTTTTTTCTTCCAAATTTCTAAAGAACAGATAACACCTTCATTTTATGAAATTAATCTTCACTGCCAAACAGGTAGAGATCAATTTTTCTTATGAACACAGATAGACAAATTTCAAATAAAATATTAACAGTTCGGTCATTCTGAACATTAAAAAATATTTATTCTGAGAATGCAGAGAAATTTCAACATGAGGAAGGCTTTCAACGTAATTCTTTTTTTAAACCTCACTGATATGTTTTACTGATTTTAAAGAGAGGGAAAAAGAGAGAGAGAGCAATATCTATGTGAGAGAGAAACATTGATCAGTTGCCTCCTGTACATGCCCCCACCAGGGATCAAGCCCAAAACCTAGGTATGTGCCCTGAACAGGAATCAAACCTGCAACCTTTTGGTGCACAGGACGATGCTCCAACCAACTGAGCCACCTGGCCAGGGCCTATAAACATAATTCTTCAACTTAACAAAAGAAAAAAATTATATGATGAAGTTGGAACTTGATAAGTTTAAAAGCTGTTTATAACAAAGTAAGTTCTTACACATATGTAATAGAATAAAACTCTTTAAATGTTCAAGAATTTTATATACAACCCTAGCTGGTTTGGCTCAGTGGACAGATAGTCGGCCTGCGGACTGAAGGGTCCCAGGTTCAATTCCAGTCAAGGGCACATGCCCAGAGTTGTGGGCTCAGTCCTCAGTAGGGGGTGTGCAGGAGGCAGCTGATCAATGATTCTCTCTCATCATTGATGTTTCTATCTCTCCCTCTTTCTTCCTCTCTGAAATCAATAAAAATGTATTTTTTTAAAAGAATATTATATACATAGTAGAGGCCCGATGCACGAAATTCGTACAAGGGGCTAAGCCCTTGCAACCCCAGCGGCCTCGGCCCTCGCAGCCCTGTCTTCGTCCAGCAGGTCATCCGGACAGTCATTCTGCTGTTTGGTCTAATTAGCATATTAGCTCTTTATTATATAGAATATAATGTAAAGACACTTATTTATTTATTATTTATTTATATTTTTACCAGCGAACATCACAGAGTGCCCATTCATGGTTTTGTAACATCATGCACTGATACTTGGAAAATACTGGTTCACTGAGTTAGTTATGCAGATCTTACAAATGTTGACACATTTCGTTACACAATAGCAAAAATCAAATTCATTAATATCACTACTGATGCTCCTGTTGATGAATAAAAGTTTTTCAAAATTGCTTGTCAGCTTCAGTTTTATCATCGGCAACAAATAGTGTCAGATGTTTCTCTTGAAGTTACAGGATCACTTTGTTCTTTTTCAAGTCTGGTTTCATTTCATTCCAAATACCCAAATCTGATCAACCACAGTTTTCCAATCTTTTTCTTTAAAGAAGAATAACATGGTGCTTCATGGGAAAAGCAGCTAGTCGGAGGCTCACAATTCAATCACACAAGTGCTTTTCCTTCAGACAACCATCACACTTGAGCCATCACACTTGAGCATGCTGCCAAAGCGCTCCGTGCAGACTTCCTGTTCACCACCCATATTGAAAGGCATATGCACCAGGGTTGAAGTTTAATATAATCAATTTTACTGCCTCATCAAAGGACATTCTTCAGTGAAACTCACTTTTAAAAAAAGGACTCCCTGGTGGTAACGTAGGAAATACATCGACTACCAGTTTGACTTGACTGCCTTTGTTCAGTAGCCTGAAATTGGATCCAATTACACCACCTCCTCAGCTGTGTGACTTAGGACACGTTTATTTAATTCCACTGTGCCTCGGTTTCCTTGTCTACAAAACATCGGTGAAGTACTATCCCACCCTCATGGGTTTCCTGCAACAAAGGCAGGAAGTAAAATGTTCAAATGCCATGCACAATACCTTGACACAATTGAGTACCCAATATGTAGAAGATGGACTTCAAATATACAAACTATAGTATTGATCAGAACAGCACTTCAGATGAACAGAGTCTGACTATTGTTCCAAGCCACTGAGGCGTTGACTGTCAGAGTTAGAAATGAAAACAGTTTTGTGAAAACTTTGTCTTTTTATCTGTGAAAACACTCTATTGTGTTGCAATGCCTTGCCTGTCTGGGTCTTAGTTTCTCTACTTCCAGAATGAGAATAGAATGTCCTTTTATCTCAGCAGAAGAGAGGCAAAAGCAAGGTGGCCCAGACTATAGGAAGAGCTTATTACTCAAATATTTTCTGGGCTTTAACTATTAATGGGGCCTGATGGTTACATACATGCCCCCAGCTATTCTCAAGTAGAATGTCAGTGCATGATACTAAGCACATTTCTTGAGCACTCTAGGGGTCTTTGAGAAAGGCATTTTGTGTAGTTTCTTATACCTGACAATAAATCAGTGTGTACATTTTCAGTGATATACAATAACCCAAAAGCTAAGCGTGGATAGTTATTTCTAGTTGATGAAATAAGAGTTGATTTGTATTGTTTAGGTTCTTCTACCATCGGCATTTTCTGTTTATTGTTTTAAAGTTATTTTTAAAAATTTTTTAAAAGTAAGAAAAATCACAGAAAGCTTTGTTTATGGCATTTTTATTGCAATTCTGCACAGCATTCGAAATTTCAAAGGATTCGTGAAAATTTGAAAACAGTCATCTAGGCAAAGGAAGAAAATAGGCTTCATTGTGGTTTTAACCATGCTTCATACACAACTTTTAGGAAAGGAAGATTGCCTACCCAAAAGCTATTATTTAAATTCCATAATGTCAGGGCACTGGGCAGCAACACACTGTGATTAACCATGTGCTAAAGCGCTGCCACCCATCGGGCATCTGCTCTCGTCTTAGCAAAGAGCACTCAGGTCAGCCATGGAGCAGCCACTGGTGCAGCACACAGCCTGTAGGTCCCGTTGTGGCTGTCCACGCCCAAGACTTTCCTCCCCTGCGGAATCCACCTGCCCAAGGTTTTACGGTGTGCTTTCCTCAGAAACCTCGTGTTCTTTTGGAAGCTGGAAGTAGCTTCTTCTCTCAACTGAAAGGAAGAGAGAAAGAGAAAACAAACAAACAAAAACCCCACTTCCTTAACGGACCCTGATAAGGAAGGCAGCAACCAAGTTCTACTCTTGGCGCAAAGCATTGGATTTCTGAAAGGAAATTGAATCCTACACATCACTTTTTTTTCATGTTGGTCTTGTTTCAGGGAGATTAGACATTTTGGGAAGCATTCAGTCCTTGCCAGCCTCCTCATTTTATGGAGGAGGAGACACGCGTGCAGAGAGGGGTGATGTAGCCAGTGTCACTCAGCTGGATCGTAGCCAAGGCAAGGCTTGACTTGGGTTGTACTGGCCACCTCTGCTCTGCGACCAGCAGCTTCCAAAGCTATGAACAAAAAACACACAAACACAAAACAACCCTGTGTGTGCCCTGGAGATTTAAACCTCTTGTCTGAAAATAAAAAGCGGGGCCCACTGTTTTTATCAGGGTGTTGTTTCCAAAGTCCTCTCTCACTTTAACTTGGTTCAGACTTACTCATCAGCACCTTGGCACACTGGCAAGCACCCAGAACTCATGTATGAATGAATGCTGATTGGGAAACCGGTAATTGATCAAATAAATAATATATGAAAAATACTCTGAAACCTGTGAAAGGTTAAATAAATAGTATTACATCAGTGGTGTTAAAAAGAGAGAGCCTTATACAGACATCCATTCCACTGCTGTGCGTGTCATAGATAGTCTGAATGTACTTTTTCTAGTGTATTTTGATTTTCTACTCCAGAGGTCGACAAATTATGTAAATCTAGTAAATTTATGCTTATTCTCTTGAGATTAAAAACCCTTACTCTTTCTGTTAACATCTAGTAACTCTGAACCACTCAATATTAAGTTGGAGGTGGTAAGTTCATAATTTTTCAAGAAATTCATCTACCAAAATATGAAAACTATGGGTCATTATAAAAAATACTTTTGTTTACCAAAGTCATTTTACTTATTTAACTTTTTAAATATATATATATATATCTTTATTGATTTCAGAGAGGGAGGGAGAGGGAGAGAGAGATAGAAACAACAATGATGAGAGAGAACCATTGATTGGCTGCCTCCTGCACACCCCTTACTGGGGATTGAGCCTGCAATCCAGGCATGTGCCCTTGACCAGAATCAAATCCGGGACCCTTCAGTCCGCAGGCCGACTCTATCCACTGAGCCAAACCAGCTATGGCTACTAAAGTCATTGTAAACTAAATAGAAACCTTTACAATCATAGGTGGCAGCATTTATTATGTAATCATGTTTTCCTTTTTTAACTTTTTATGATTAGACATAAATACAATTGATTATTAAAATAGAATCTTAAATAAATTCTGCCTCACACTTTATATAAGACTAGCAGAAAGAATACCAGTCAAACTTCTAAATTACTTGAATTTAAAAAAAAATGAAGAAATTCAGAGAAGTCAGTCCCCTCACTATTTCTGGAACACGATAGGTTCATTCCCAAAATTCTGGTCAGACAATTCCTACTGTTGGAATTCCCACTAGAATTCCATTTCACCCCACTCGTCGTATCTCCACAATACTGTCATTTACTACAGCAATCCACCATCTCCCTTTTCCTACGGGAGGCACAGTGTAGAATAAACAAAGACCTCAGTTCTTAAAGGCAGGCAGACTTGGTTTGCTCCCTAGACACATTGCTTACTACTTGGGTGAATAATTTTGCCTTCGGTAAAATGGTAAGTGGTGGTTAGAGTACTTACTTCACAGAATTCTTATCAGAAGAGTGAAAGAAATGTTGCCCATGAAACTATCTGGAACTTCATAAGTGCTCAATGACAGCTAGATTCCTTCCTTCCAACATTATTTAGACCTGCCTGAATTCCAACTTATTATATTCTACAATTATCCATGTGTGAAAATCTTGCAACTCCAACATGCCCCTTGAAATCATGTGCTTCTCTGTCCCTCATAGCACCTGCTGTAGATGCTGAGCTTTCATTTATTGCTGGTGGAAATGAAAACTGGCACAGTCAGTTTTGGAAGACAGTTTGGGAGTTACAAATCCAAACATACTCTTACCATATGGTTCCAGCAATCATACCGGTATTTCCTCAAAGGAGTTGAAAACATGTACATGGATATCATAGGAACTTCATTCATAATTGCCAAAATTGGGAAGCAACCGAGATATCCTTCAGTAAGTGAATGACAATTAACTGTGGTACCTCCAGACAAAAAGGCAAAACTATCGAGACAGGATGGGGGAGGGAAGGGATAAATAGGCATGGCACAGATTATTTTTAGGGCAGAGAAAACACTCTCTATAATACTACACATAATGAATGTATGTCATTATCCATTTGTCCAAACCCATATTATGTGTAACACTAAGTGAACCCTAAAGTAAACTATGGACTTTGTGTGATTATTATGTCTGTATAAGTTCATCAGTTATAACAAACTGGTGTTGATGTTGATAACTGGAGAAGCTATGCATTTCTCAGGGCAGATGGCATATGGGAAATCTCCATACCTCCCTTTCAATTGTGTTATAAACATAAAACTGCTCCAAGAAAATACAGTTTTTAATTTTTTAAAATTTTATGGTAACTAAAATTTTCTAGTGAGAATCCAAAGTCAGCCTAGCAAGCCAGCAAAATAATGCCTTCTATAGCTTCTATAACTCTCAAGTGAAAATCTTAAAGTAAAAGTGTGATACTAATATAAAAGTATGGGAGAGTCTACAAGAATGATGTTCAGAAAGGTAAAATGGAATAGGGTCAGTTTATACTTCCCAGGATCCAGGAAGTATAAAATAGTATAAAATAGCTTTATTTTTCAATTAGGCTCAATGAGAGTAGAATATGTGAAATTATTTTAATGATCAAAAATACATCATAAAAAGAAACACTTTTTTTCCTATGAAATTAAGTTTTTATTTTGTTGCACAGGGTGCTATGGAAAGTCCAACCTTTCAGAAAGACAAGGGGATGTGTTACAATAGACTTCTACCAGTAGGAAATGTATGTTCCTTATAACATGACCTCAGATCTCAGTCTACCTAAAAGTTGCCTTGCTTTTGTTTAACAGATGGCTCCAAAGAAATGGAGATGTTGAAGAAATTGATACTTGTGAAAGGTAGTTCCCACTGTTGCACCGATTGTATTCTTAGTTTTAATATATATCTTTTTTAGAGAGTTTAGTGAGGTTTAAATGCCTTGTCTTGTCCTCCTCACGTAACATGCTTTATAGGCCATACTGTCCTTCAGCCTCAGTTAACGAAAACCAGGACTTGTTGAAACAAACAGCATGGAACAGACTGTTAGCAATCTATGTTTGGAGGAGTCACTGCCTCCTACTCCTTCTATTTCCACAAGCTTGCCCTAGAAGTCATTATAAAATAACATCCTGATGCAAACTATAGATCAGGGACTTTCTGTTTTCTCTGTGGGCCCACTTAAGTCTGGGCAGATTCCGGGCATGCAGAGGAGGGAGCCCTGATGTGTCCCAGACTAACTCTTCTCCCTGAACTGTGAGTGTCATGCCTGCTGGCCAAACAGTGCAATTCTGACTTTTGCTGTCATGTCTTTTGCTTGTCAAATAGTCTAATAAAGTTCTATAGCTCAGCTCTCAGATCTAAGAGGATGAATACTGATTTAAAGTTGAGTATGAGAATCCAGTATTTTCTTAATACTAACACCTGCATAATTCACAAACCTTGGAAAACAGAAGATTTAAATGTGTATAGAACTTAGACTTAATAAAGATTTTTGTTTAAGTAATTCTAATAACTTCCAAGCTTTTCTTCTAAAGGAATAATAATTTTCTAACATACATAGACATTTTATAAGTATGTATGTGTACTTGGAATACGATTAAGAAATGGAGTAGGAGTATCTTTCAAAAATTAAGAAAATCCCAACAATACCCTTACAATTAGCTTGGATAAAAAACTAACAACATATCTCTGGAATAAAGGTTGATTAAATTTCTATTAAGTTCAAATAGAAGTTATACATTAAATATTGTTTTCTAAAATCAAAATCCCAGCTTACTGCATCCAATCAGACTATTAGATATTAAACATTGTTCCTTTAAAAAAAAACAATTAACAAGAAAGGATATCAGTAATGACAATTTATGCTGGTTGATTTGACCTTGGTCCAAGCAAACTATCTATCACATCTCTCTGGAAAAGAAAAGAAAAGTCACACAATTACAATGCAATAAAATACAAATTAAGAGGTAAAGTAGTCTTTAAATTGTCATTTATAAGTCAAATATATATAT